GGCGGGTTCGAGAAAACCTGAAACCCCATTTCTTGGGGGCGCATCCTTTACGTCCGCCGCCTTCCGCTGGCGGAGCCGCCCCCGTTTTGCTTCCAGTGGCGTCTGCCGAGGAGGAGATGTCAACGCCGACGATCCCTCGAGGGCAAGGCCCGTTCTGGAACACGCCAGGTGCACCCAGACGTCCGATGTCTTGATTTGCCAACACGGCCTCAAAAATCCCCCATCTTTTCCCAAAGCTAGGTTTCCATCCCGAATCGTTCTTTGACGGCCCTGGGGCCCCGCGAGGGCCCTCGGAGGCCGAAAACGATCAAAACATCAATCGTCGCAATTCTTTCGCGACGCGAGCATGCCTGGGTATCCAGCTTGCTGGCACTTTTTTGGCCCTTGGAGGCCTCAGAAAGTTCATGGGGACCTACGGGGGATTTTCACGGGGGGGGGGGGCGATCCTGGGCAGCGGCAGGCGATGGGATGTAGTCTCTTGCGCGGCCGTTGCTCGCTGGCCGACTGCGAGTGCTCGATCTGGAGTCCAGTGTCTCGCGGCCGATCCCAGACATTTTTCCGTCGCAGCGCGGCAGAGGCAATCCGCGCGCGCGTCCGAATGACGCCGCGCCACGAGGGGGAGTAGGGAAGGCGGACGGCCGCGGGAGGGACGGGGGGGGTGCGCAGGGCCCGCTCACGCGGCGTGGCAGCGCTGAAGGGCGGGGAGCGGCCTGGCTGAGGTCCACGCTGTCGGCGGCTGCAGGGCGGCGTGCACCCAGGGTGGGGGCCGGCAGCCACAGTACAGGCGAGGCCCAAGCAAGCTGGGGAGGCAGGCCACTGCGGCTGAAGACCAAGCAGCCAACGGAAGGAGGACGGCGGCGTGGGGCCGGCGACGTAATCTGCCGGCGCCACAGCTGCTGTACGATGCCCAGGCAGTGGAGGCAGGCGGCTCCGTGGGTCAGGCGGCCAGAGCAGTCCGGATGCGAGGCGAGGTGGAGCGAGGCAGAGAGAAAGAGGCGCCACTCGTAGCCGGTGCACGGCATCACGGCAGAAGCGCGGGTAGCCCAGTGCAAGTGGAGCGCGGGCTGGCCCCAGAGCGAAGGAAAAGGAGACCCAGGCGGCGGCGGGCTGCGTGGGCAAGGCGGGGGCGGGCCGCAATGACGGAGGCCCGTGAGGCGAACAGCGACTGTGAACGGGGCAAGACCACCGGTGGCGCAGGGGCTGTAGCGCACGTGTGCCTTGAGGCAAGGTGCGCGGGGGGGAGGGGCGGGCTGCCAGCGGCCAGTGCACGGCAACACGGCCTGGGGCGGTAGGGGAAGCCGACCCGCTTGACGACCGGTCAGGAGAGACAATAGGGAGAGGGGCAGCACCGGCGGCGGCCAGAGCGGCAAAGCGGGAGGTGAGGCGCAATGACGGCGACCCCCAAGCGGGCAGCGGTCGCTGCGGGCAGGGGTGGAGTCCCTGCCGACCGCACGGGCTGCGGGTGCAGGCCCGGCGGGGTCGGCCCAGCTATGCTCGCTCGGCGAGGGGCGGGGGGCCAGAGGCAGGGCGGAGCGGGGGAGGGGGAGGAGGAGGGCCGCCCGGACTCGAACGCGCAGCGACTGGGTTGGACGCTGCGCGGGAGCGCGGGTGTGGCGGAGACGCCGCCTGGGCTGGAGGCAGGCGCCCCCAGCCAGAGGCGGAGCCAGGTAGAGCGGTGCACCTAACTGGTGCGCTTGCTGGTGGGAACAGAGGTGTGGCGGCCTTCTGGGTTAGAAAGCTCCCTGCTGTCGCAATACGGCCAGGTAGCGGGCAGACCACACAAGAACCTAGGCAGGTGGAGTACCACAGCCAGCCAAGGTGGAAACTTCGCCAATGCGGGGCCCCCTGGGTTGGAGGGTCCTGCGGATCCAGCTCAACCAGGTGAACGGATGCACCTAACTGGTGCTCTTTCTGGTGGACGCAGAGGTGCGGCGGCCTCCTGGGTTGGAAGGCTCTCCGCAATCACACACGGCCAGGTAGCGAGCGGTCCGCGCTGAGTCCAGGCAGATGGAACGGCCACCCCCAGCCAAGGTGTACGCATCACCAGAGCGGGGACCCCTGGGTTGGAAAGTCCCGCGGATCCCGCACATCCAGGTAAACGGAAACGCTTAATTGGTGCGTCGACCCATCCCATACATCCCGACATCCACCGTGTTGAAAACAACAAGACGGAGCTTCGTCGATTTCTGCCTCTCGGGGCACTTACTGGGTCCCGGGACCGTCAAACAAAACCTCACGATGAAAAACCAGCCCTGGGGAAAGGGCCGGGACTTCCGAGGACCCCGTATCAAAAACATCAAATCTCGGGTCTGGGACACACCCGAGACGCCCAAAGAGACCCCCTGAAAGGTCAAAAAATGCCTCCAAGAGGCCCCCGAGAGGACTTCCAAGTGTCCCCAACATGCCTCCCAACAAGGCCCCTTGTCCACAAACCAGCCTGGCCGAAAACCCCTAAACACTACATATATCATGGGCCGGCGGAATGAGCGAAGCGATCCGCCGCCACACCGGGTACGGCGTGTGAGATCCCCGCCGCATAGTCTGCAAGGACTCTTTCCCCTCATTCCTCTTACCCGGGCACTCCTCGTACCCAAATTCCTTTCTTCAGAGCGCTGACAGCCCCTCGTAAGGTCCTCCACACGGGCTGCTCGTTCAGCCAGCCTGGAGGCTCCGGCTGCAGACTGGGCGTCCGCTGGTCGCCATTTTGCCCTCAACACCAAGCACGCCTTCGCACGGGAGACTTCTGAAAGCCTCCGGGCGCACTTTGGAACCTCTCCCGAAGCCCTCCTGGGCAATCTTTGGAGCTTCTTGGGGCACTCTTGGTCTCATTTAGCCCGTCCCCGGGGCCCGTGGGGCCGTCTCGGACTCCTCCGAAGCCCTCTTCGAGTCACATGGAGCCGAAAACCTAAAGAGGTCAACAACCACTTAAAACCAAACAGATCTGAACGGTCTTGGCCTTTTCGGGCTTATCTTTGTGCCTCTTGAAACTCTCTTGGCGCCTCTTATGGCACTCTTGGGGCCTCTCTGGCCACGTGAGAATCTCTTCAAGTCCTCTCGGGCCGTCCTTAAAGCCTCTTGGTTCCATCTTGGGCCGTCTGGGCGCCCTTTTTGGCGTTCTCTTGAACCGTCTTAAGGGGCCCAGGGGGTTCCTGGAAGGTCTTCTGAGGCTTCAAACCAAACTGGCGCAGCTCTCTTTTACCTCTCTGTGTCCCTCTTCGGTTTCGTCCGCCACTTTGTACACCTTTGGGTGCCCTCTTGAACTGTTTTCAGAGCCTCTTCAGGCCCTCTTGGGCAGTGTTTCGCGCTCTTCTTCGGCCCTCTGGGGCCGTCCTGGACCTCCCCCCTCGCCCTCTGGGATCATCATTTCCATGGCCTCCCTTGTCCTCCACCACGCCTCCCAAAGTCTCCCCGTTCCCAAAGACGTGGGCTGGCGGTGTCTGTCCCCTCGTGGGACGTCCAATTGAATAAAACCTTCGTTCGACCCGCTCTTGCCGAAGGCCCTCCTGCTCCCCCAGACCTCCTCCCCGCGGACCCGTCTAAGAAGTCGAAATCGAAATCCGTAGCTCCCTTCTTTCGCTGAGTTCCTCTTGGTTGTCGACATTTGGGTGGCCTTTGCCGTTGCCTGCGAATCTCGCGGGGCCTTCTTGGGCAGTTCGTGGATACTCGTGAGCACCCTAGTGCCAAATTGAACCCCTGTCGCTCCCTCCACTGTTTGGGCTCCCCTAGTCCGTCTTCACTTGATTACCCAACCTCTCACTCCGCCTTCCAAAAGAATTGTGGCGGCGGTCTCTGCCCCCTCAGGGGCGCTCGATTGAATCAGGACACCGGGTGCCTGGGGTTGCGAATTCACGGTGGGGCCAAAATGGGTCAAGAGGGCCCCAAGACGGTCCAAGAGGTCCTCAAGACGGCACCCACGACGGCTCGCAGAGGCTCCCAAGACGGCCTCCGACGGCCAAAATGCTGCTTGGAAACCCCGAGCGGCACCCAATAGGCCCCCCAGAAACCTGGCCCCAAGACGGTCGTTAGGGGCCCCTGCCGCCTCCGCGATGCAAAGGGCGTGCCGGCTGGGTTTCGCCTCCTCCCGCGATGCACTCCATAGCCAACAACCCCCGCCGACCTGCACTTCGTGCGGGAGCCTTTTTGGTTGCACGCGGGACATGCAGATTCAGTGGCAGCATGGCCTACCTAACTTCGGCGAGCCCAGTGGGGAAAGCAGAGGGGGCAGGCCTTCTCAGAAGGGTCGGAAAGTCTCGAGACTTCTGATGAATTGAGGAAGCCCTCCTCGAAGGCATAGGCGGCTTCTCAAAGGTCGGAGAGCTTACGAGAAGCCCCGCCGCCTTCTGAGGCCTGCCCCTCTTACTTCCCCCCTGGGCTCGCCGCTGATAAGTGGTGCTGGCATGATGTCTGCACGGACTGTGGCGAATCGCACAGCCCCACCAATTCTCAGCCGCTTCGCCTCCCTCACGAATTCGCTTGTGCAGAATCACGGCATGTTCTCGAATTCTCACCCTTAGCGAAGCAAATTCTGCCCGCATGCACCGGCCCGGAAATCATGGGAAGGAATCAAGCTCCACCGAGCATGCGGGGCGAACACCAGTTGCTGCTATCATCGTGCTGCAGAACAGGCATCCCAACAGGGTGCGCTACATCCAGCCTCCTCCGCTTGTACTCAGGCTGTGGCAGCGCTGGACCTCGCTTGCCAACGGCAAGAGCCGGAGACGACACATCCAGCGGAACATCCGCTGGGACGGACGCCACCACGCTTCGATCAATGCAATGTTGACCCCGGTTGGTCTCATACACGTACCACGTGGCATCATCGGTCGCTGGGTGGTCGATTCGAGCGCATTCGGCGTACGCGACGCAAGAGTCTGTGTTTCGCAGGCCCTCGCGATCGATTACCCAGCGTCCGCTGGGCGGCCAGAAGCGAATCGCAGCTCGGGCGCCAACTTTTTGATAGGCTGGTCGTCCCAAATGGGTCGTCTGAAGCACGTAGTCACCATTGATATCGTTGTTCTCGGTCGTGGATGCCCTCCCAGAAATTCGGAGGACAAGCGGCGCCGTGGTAGCACGGACATTCACGTCCTTGTCGTGACGTCCAGTGCGAGAATCCCAGATCTGCCACTGAAGGTCACTGAGACCAGGGTGCTGCGCGCCACATGCTTGCGCATACGCAGTGCAGCGCTCGGTTGCGGCGGACGTATCGCCGGTGAGGATCCAGTGGCACAGCCTATTCATCAGGCTCGGCTCAACAAGGCCTTCGCAATCGATCAACCACCTATCAGTCTTCCTGGAATACCGGATGACCGTCTGCGTGCCGGGCCGCACGTACAACGGGTAAGTTTCCCAGGCGCCAGCCAGGTGGTAAGTGCCGCAGACCCTTGCCTTCCCAGACTCCGTGCCCTGCCCCAAAACGTGAAGCAAGCGGGGTGCAGCGATTGTCCGCGTCGCTGGGTCGGCAACGAACGAGCCAAGCTGCGGCTCCCAGAATTGCCACTGCAACTCGGAAGTGCCTGGGTGCTCCGCGGAGGTCCCCTCAGCAAAAGCACAACATGAGTTGCCAGAGTCGTGGATCCGCCACCGCGCTTGCAACGGTTGGTGTGTGTGTGTGTGTGTGTCGGACCCTTGTTTTCCGTTCGAAGCAATATGAAGCCCCCCGGCGCATCGAACCCCACATCCTTGCATTTCTTCCACTAAATCCTTGCGTTTTTCGCCTTCCGACAAAAAATGATCCCGAAAACTCAGGTGCGGCTAGCCGGGTCCCCTGGCATGTCCTCCCACCACCCCCAACCCCCAGCCGCCCGCCCGAGCGCGGTGGCGGAATCGCGCGGCAGCCCAAATGGATAGAAGACAAAAGCCAACGCCCCTCTTCCGCGTGAAACCGGAGCATGGCATTGCCGCCCTTGTGCTTATAGAGGGGGCGGCTGTTGGCCACTCCTACCAGGGCGTACTCCCCGTTGGCAGAGAAGTTCTCGCGATTGGCCGCTCGCCCTACCAGAGTGACGTTTGTCGGGGCAGTGAATGCCACCACTGAGGAATCCACTACGTGGCTATTGGTGGCTGGATCCCACACGTGCCAAAGAAGGTCAGCGCAAGCGGGATGCACCGACCCTGCAAGGTCGTCCGCGAACGCCACACACACGTCGGACTCGCGCATGCCCTCCCTGTCGATCACCCACCGGTGCACTGAAGGCGAATGTCGGATGACCGTTGCCGAGCCGAGCTGTTGGTAGACAGCGAAGCCATGGCTCACGCCAGCGTGCGCATACTCCCCGCAGATATGGAAGAACAAAGACAACGGCATACTCATGAACTCTTGGAGGTCCGCGTGAGCTCCTTGGGTCGGCGGTAGGCACCCCTCCCATGGCGCGCGGAGCGCGCCTGGGACGGCGCCAGGGGTGCCGCCATGGGGGCGTACAGCGCCGACCCAAGGAATCTGGGCGGACCTCCGAAGATGCATACTTGTGCCGTTGCTTGATCTTCGAATGTCGCCGTTCACCCGGTCCGCACATCTGCCGACCACGTGCAAGGTACGCGGGCAGCTCGCCGAACCGCTCTCGCCGCCACCTGCCATGGCCACCGTGCCGCCGCGCTGCGTGAGTGTATCACCCTACTCTCGGCATCAAAGAGCTCGTTTGAGCCAAACTTGATGTGTGAAGCAATGAGGATGTGGGCATTGCCGCTGCTGGTCGTGCTTGGATCTAGTGCTACAGCGGCCCATGTGTTGTGCAATTGCTGCACGCGGGCTGAGCATGTGTGCCCATAGCTTGTCTGCAGCAACGGTGACGTTGGGAGCGATGACTTTGACCCCCCAGTTTTCGGCCATCAAGGGGACATGACTAGAATCAGACATGCGTAAATATACGCACGCATGGAACCATTGAGCCAGCTACCGGCCCCGTTCGTGCTCCTCACTGCTCCTCACCATGCTCTTCCGACCCCGCTCCTCCCCTCGGCGCGTCCCGACTGGGGACGGAAAAAAAGGGGGCAATGCCCACAAAAACAAATGTCGTCCAACACCGACAGCGGCCGCTGCTGGGCAGGCGACGTTCGTCTCAAATGGACAACGTCTGCGGCGGCACCGGCAACGAATCCTGTTCAGAGTGGGCAGGAGCTGCTGCCAGCGCTGTCACGATTCGGCCTCCCCGATCTCTCAAATACGTGAGGGTCGAATAGGGCTGGAATGGGATGGAATCGACATGGAGTCGGATCGGCGTCGAATGCACCACAACGCCGTGCAAACAGTGGGCAACACCAGACCGCCAGAGTATCGGAACAGCGCGGTCGGATCGGGCCGGCCATAATCGATATCGAATCGATCGGATCGAACTTGGCCCCGATCTCCATGATGCTGCTCCTCCTCCTCCTCCTCCTCCTCCTCCTCCTCCTCCTCCTCCTCCTCCCCTTCCTCCTCCTCCTCCTCCTCCTCCTTCTTCTCCTCCTCCTCCTCCTCCTCCTCCTCCTCCTCCTCCTCCTTTTGGGTGTTGCCGAAGGTGTCCCTGGCCCAAGATGCCCCCAACCTCTCGCACCCTCTCGGAGCTTCCGGGGACCCTCTGGGCCTCGTGAGTGGTGCTTTGGAGACCATCTGGGCCTCCGTGGAAAAGCTGGAGCTCCTCAGGAGTATGATGATGAGGAGGAGGAGGAAGAGGAGGAAGAAACGACGTATCCATTAAGAGTCGGGTGGCCGCCACCCTCGACCTCAGAGCCCGCAAGTGAGACGGCGAGGATGAGGGAGCTACTCGCCACAAGAGCCAGCTCGCAATCGCAGGACGCAACCTTGCGGGCAGGGGACAGATACGAAAGGGGGGGCAATGAGGAGGCCGCCCTACATTGCAGCAGAAAGGAATAGGTGGGAGAACTGGTCAGTTGTCCCTTGCTACTCTCGGCGCCATGGGAATAGATGTGGCGCGTCGCTCATGGGGGAGCCTTGGGCACGAGCCTTCGTTTTATTGGACATGTAGAAGGCATGGAATAGTGCCTTTCGGCATCCCCCACGCATGAGTTCAGATCCCTCCCCCCGTGGTCGCCCGCCCATCCCAGTCCCATTACGATCGGGTCTGCAGGAGAGGGGAGGAGGAGGAGGAGGAGGAGGAGGAGGAGGAGGAGGAGGAGGAGGAGGAGGAGGAGGAGGAGGAGGAGGAGGAGGAGAGGAGGAGAGGAGGAGGAGGAGGAGGAGGAGGAGGAGGAGGAGGAGGAGAAGGACTTTGGGTAATATGGCTTTTGGGCGCCTTAGCTCCGTTAGTGGGCCCAGTCTCCAGGAGTCACCACCGTGTAGGGCACGTTGGCCCGATGTAGCATATGGCCTGGGGCCCCCTGGGTCCAGGCCGCCCGTTCTGGGCCAACGAACCAAGAGCCTGGGCGCCGTGGCTCAGGCACTGCGGCTCCAGTGTGGAAGTGCATCTTGGCACCTTCGACAACATACTTGTCATCACAACGCTTCGGCAGTTCGGGGATGCACCCACCTGTCTCTTTTTTATAATTCTCCGTTTTATTTTCAGCAACTGGGGATCAGATGTTGCGGGGTGGGGGAGACAGCAAAAGTGTGTGTGTGTGTGTGTGTGTGTGGGAAAATTGAAGATACGCTGGTGTGGTGCGGCTGGGCCGTGGCGCACAGCGAGCGCGCCAGAGGCCTCATTAATCAAACGTTAGCGCGGAGTGAAGCACTAACCAAGCCTCAGCTAGCATCACACGCATGATGGGCACAATCTGGGGCTATCAGTGTACGAGTGTAGACAACTGTAGCTGCAATCCTCGGTGGCTCTCCTTTGCCGAGCCCACGCGCCGCCTGTGGTGCCGGCTCTCCCAGGGACCCGCACCCGAGGGTCCACGCCCTTGCCTGAGGACCCCATTCACATGGTGGAGGGCACGAGGGGAGGAGGAACGCACGAACTGAGGACCCTCACTAGAAGGCCCTCGCCTCGCACGCCTCCCAGGGGCCCTCACCCGAGGGCCACCCCTGCTCCCAGGTGGGCGCCGCTGGGCTCCCTTGCCCGAGGGAGGGCGCGGGGGCAGAGGATGGCGCGAAAGTGCGAGGCGTCACCCGAAGGCACGACTTTCGCCCATGGCCCTCGACTTGAAGGACCACGCCCAGCCCGCCAAAGCTACGGACGGATGGGGCGAGGATGAAGGCTGGCTTCACGAGCGGGTCGAGAATTGGTGTCGACAGAAAGGCGCAGGAAAAACGGGGATGGACTGGCGCTCCCAGAGATGGCCAGTAACGAAATGCAAGATGCCAAGCTGTGTGGGGCAGGTAGCAAGAAACTGGTAAAACGAGCGCGTCTCGAAAAGAGGGGGCCGGGGTGAAGGGGATGAAGACGGTTCCTGGGAATGGGGGGGGAGCTGGAAAGAGGAAACAAGAAGGGGTGAGCGGCCCGAGTTCCAGTGACCACGTGTCTCGCTAGCTTTCGGGTACCGCGCCTGCAACGGCTGTACGGGCGAGTCGGGGCCGTCCAAGCATGCAATAAATGAGCTGACACTCGGATGCCAACGCCTGTTCATCGACAGGGATGGGCATCCCAGCTCGCAGCTTACCAAAGTGCCTCATGAAGGCGCAGTGGCGGTGCATTGTGGCATACAGGCCGAAACTAGCTGGGGGCAAGGCGACGGCGGCAGAAACGAGAAGCGGGAGTGAGCGTTCCAAGCTCCCGTGTCCGCGTGAAATCCTTGGCACCATACACCTCATGAGCGGTGGGCAGATTCGGACCCAAACTGGCCACAACAACATGTGGCTTGTTTTTTCTTCGACATCATGGTCGATAAGGAGGTTAAGGGTGAGGCGAGTAATTGTAAGCTTGGCTGTCCCGAGCGAAAACAAGCCCAACTTCCGCATTCCTCTGCCGCCGCAACTCCGTCGGACCTCAAAAAGGGCGAGGCAGGCACTCCCAAACCCGTGTCGCACCTCCAAGGCCCCATGAATGCACAATGGCGGCGCAGTGGGGCGTGCTGGCCGAAGCTAGTGGGGACAAGGCGACGGCGGCGGGGAAGCGTTATCTCACCCAAGTGCCCGAATCGTATTCGAAAAGAGGGGAAATGAGGGGGAGCGGGTAAATGGGCGAGCGGCCCCAACCCGGGTGACCTTGGCCCTTGTTGGGTTTTGGGGTGGCGCGCCTGCAATGACTATCGTACCGGATACCTGCCAATCTGCACCAGCCCATACCGTATCGCGCCAACTGGCCGCGGCCACCGTACCGGACGATACCGTACCGGCCGCGTCAACCGTACCAAACGATGCCGTACCGACCGTGTTTACCGTACCGCGCGATGCCGTACCGGCCGCGTCTACCGCACCGGACAATACCGTACCGTGCCGCACACTGTAGCCCAAGCAGGATCTAGCAGGAAGAGGAGGAGGAGGAGGAGGAGGAGGAGGAGGAGGAGGAGGAGGAGGAGGAGGAGGAGGAGGAGGAGGAGGAGGAGGAGGAGGAGGAGGAGGAGGAGGGGGAGGAAGAGGAGGGGTAGGAGGAGGAGGAGGAGGAGGAGGAGGAGGAGGAGGAGGGAGGAGGAGGAGGAGGAGGAGGAGGAGGAGGGAGGAGGAGGAGGAGGAGCAGGAGCAGGAGGAGGAGGCGGAGGAGGCGGAGGAGGAGGAGGAGGAGGAGGAGGAGCAGGAGGAGGAAGAGGAAGTCACCTTCTGGGGGCACCCCTCCCTGCGCCCGGGGCGGGGACTGCGCGCCCCCATTGCCCGCGGCGGCGACGAGCGCGGCGCCCGCCCGCGCCATGCCCACCAACGCTGCCCGGCAGCGCCCGGTTTGCGGGTCGCCCGCGACCAGCTGCGCACCAGGAGCCAACAAAACAGATTCGAGATGAGCTACGAGTATACCGGCAGCGCCTCGATCTGCCCGAGACATACGCACGACCAGCACGCTCGCCAACATCGTGGAGACCAACTATCTGCGCGGCAAGACCGCCGCCCTCGAGCCCATGAGCCGGGTACCGCGACGAGACGCTGGCTCGCCTACGCGGCACGAAAGGGCAAGGACCTCGCCTCTCTGCTGGCGAAAGGCTTGGCCATGCTCATTGCCTTTACCCTTCCTGGCAAGCAGGACAGCGCCGCGCACACCAAGGAGGTCTACAAGAACATCATCATCCAGACCGTTCCCACTGCCCCTTCGCCACCTGCCTGTCCGCCCAGCATCTGGACGCAAAACTGCGAGCTCGCCATCCGCTTCGGCTACGACAACTTCCATGGCGAGGCCCATGCCAATGTGGCTCAAGAGGCCGCTCATCCCAACTGTCGCGAGGGCGTCTTCAGGATGCGGAGAGAGGCGCCCATCTTCGTGCTGTCCCTCGGTCTGCAGATCCTGCCGCCCTACCTTCCCAACCACAGCGAGACAGCGGAGGACTTCGGCCTCATGCACCACCCTGCCGCCTGCCAGAGGTTCGAGGCACAAAAAACGCATGCCATCTCCCTCGTCCTCCCCTGCCTTGGCGGCGCCGCGCGAGAGCATTGGCTTCCACGGCACCGCCAGCGATAACGCCAACCGGGCCAGCAACAACCGCGTCGAGCCCCTCTTCCTCACCGCCAGCTCCGTCACCAGCGCCGCCGGCGACTTCAACGAGACTGAGGACCCCGACGAACTCCGGAAGGCTGGAGGTACACGACGATGAGGGTCCGACTTCCTGCCCCGCCGCCACGGCCGCTCCCCCTCCAGCCGGAGGAGGAGGGGAGCCGGCAGCTTGCAGGAGCGACGCCTCGTTCTCCACTGCCTCCTAGAACCCGCCCGCCCATTTGCCCTCTTGGGCGCTCCATCGCGGAGTAGACCCAGGCAGGGGCCCAAACGAATTCGATGGGATGGGTACCCCCCCTCGGGATCCCTTCGGTGGCCCCGCCACCTAGCCCTTCGGGCTCTGCCACCGAGGATGCTGCCTCCGTCGCCACGGCTGGACTCGCCTCGAATTGATGCACCAAGGCCTCCGGCTGACAGACGCGCTCGGGAACCAAAATTTAATGTCCAAACCGCCGAGGAGGCCACCTGCCTCGCAGAGAAGGGCCAGGCACCGCCGATGAGCCCAAGACGCCCGACCACATCGACGAGGAGCCCAAGGAGGCCACCTACATCGTCGAGGGGGCCACCTACATGGTCGAAAACCCAGCCTGGGGTTGAGGGAAAGGCCGACGACATGGAGGCGAGAGCCGGCTGGAGGCCCACCACGAGGCCGCGAGGATCGCGGCTGTCACTTTCATCGACGCCGATGATGATCACGCAGAACTCAGACTGGAGGACGACCGAATCATCCATGTCGTCAACGACGAGTGCCATGAACCCCAACGGCAGGGAGTTCCGCATCGACCCCATGAAGATCTTCAACTACTACGGCGGGCTCCTCTAGCAGCAGGAGGACGCGGCTGCCCTCGAGCATAGCCTGCACAACTCCTTTGTGCAGACACATGACGAGAAGGCCCGCCCACGACCGCAGGCGTAACTACGGCGACGACTACGCCAAGAACCACGCCTTCAGCACTACGGGCAACCAGAAGCGGGGCTGCCTCATCGCCATCGCCCCATCGCCGGTGAGCGTGCCGCCCTCCCACGTGTGGGAGGGGAGCGCGCTGGCCCTCGGAGGGGGTGAGCGGGGCCTGCGGCTGCAGCACCCCAGGGGGGAGCAGCGGGCCCCCTCCCGATGGGCCCGACGCCCCCCCGAGGGCGCCCGTCGCCGCCAGCCAGAGGCGGCCCGCCTGCGGTGCCATGCGGCATGTGCAGGCGGTGGCCACTGGCAGCATCTGACAGACACCACTGCCATCAGTCAACGGTCCACAAGAGGAGGAGGAGGAGGAGGAGGAGGAGGAGGAGGAGGAGGAGGAGGAGGAGGAGGAGAAGGAGGAGGAGGAGGAGGAGGACGAGTGGAAACCCAAGAGTCATCGACGATGTTGGGATAAACTCTCTCTCCACGCTCCCTCTACATAGGCCCCATACATCGGTTCATTTACAATGAAGGAACTGCCTCGTTGGAAGACAACCGTTTGAACACCCTGAATCATGCCAAAACATTGTTTTCGGGATTCTAACGCCACGGACCAACCTGCCCCTTGCATCTTGACGATCCTGAATCGTGCCAGAACGCCATCCCTGGGACTTCAACACCGCAGATCAACGTAACTGTTGCGACTTCATAATTCGGAATCCTTCCAACACGCAATTTCTGGTACGTTGAACATGGAAATCCGTGAAGCCCTTGTAACTTTGTAAAACGCACGTGCGCGGCGCTAAGGCGAGAACAACATTTTGAAAAACAGCCGTCCTCAATCCGTGAAGCTCTTGCAATATTTTATCACGAACGTGCGCGTCGCTAGGGCGGAAACCATATTTTGAAAACCACCCGCCCTCAATCCGTGAAGCTCGTGCAATTTCTGAAAAAAGCGAATGTGCGCGGCATTGCAACGAGAACCACATTTTGAAAACGACCCGCCCTCAATCCGTGAAGCTCTTCCAATCTCTAAGAACGAATGTGCGCGGCGTTAGGGCGAGAACCACATTTTGAAAACCACCCGCCCTCAATCCGTGAAGCTCTAGCAAATTTCTGCAACGAATGTGCGCAACGCTAAATCGAGAACCACATTTTGAACACCACTGGCCCTCAATCCGTGAAGCTCTTACAATTTCCAAAAACGAAAATACGCGGCGCTAGGGCGAGAACCACATTTTGAAGAAGAATCGCCGTCAATCCGTGAAGCTCTTGCAAATTCTTAAAAAGAATGTGCGCGGCGTTATGGTGGGAATCACATTTTGAAAACCACCCGCCGTCAATCCGTGAAGCTCTTGCAATTTCTGTAAAACAACGAATGTGCGCGGCATTAAAGCGAGAGCCACATTTTGAAAACCACCCGCCCTTAATATGTGAAGCTCTTGCAAATCTTACAAACGAATTTGCGCGGCGCTAAGGCGAGAAACACATGTTGAAAATGAGCCGCCCTCAAGCCGTGGAGCTCTTGCAGTTTTTGTAAAAAACGAATGTGCTCGGCATGAAGGCGAGAACCACATCTTGAAAACCATCCACCCTCAACCCGTGAAGCTCTTGTAAACTTTATAAACGAATGTGCGCAGCGCGAAATCGAGAACCACATTTTGAACACCACCCGCCCTCAATCCGTGAAGCTCTCACAATCTCTAAAAAACGAAAGCGCGCGGCGCTAGGGCGAGAACCACATTTTGAAAACCACCCGCCCTCAATCTGTGAAGCTCTAGCAAATCTTCGAAATGAGTGTGCGCGGCGCTAAGGCGACAGCCACACTTTGAAAACGACCCGTCCTCCATCTGTGAAATTTTCGCCAATGTTTAAGCTTCAGGGTCATAAATGGTGACGAAGTCTCAGGTGGAACGCCAGGCCCGCTCTAAAATCTGACCTCGTTGTGCGACAGGGACAAATTATTTACAAGGAACAGGAATGGAGAAGGATGATGATGAGGGGGAGGAGGAGAAGGAGGAGGAGGAGGAGGAGGACGAGGAGGAAGAGAAGGAGGAGGAAAAGGCGCCGGCGCGTGCGTGCGGGCTGCGATGGGAAGCAGTGGGCAGCAGCGAGAGGAGGAGGGGAAATAATCGGGAGTTGCTGGAGGTGTCTGTCTCTGGCCCAGGCTGTCCCCAGGAGTTCACGGGAGGCCCAGGTGGTCTCCAGAGCACACCTCACGAGGCCCAGGGGGCCCCAAGATGGCACAATGAGCCAGTGGCACCTTGGGCCAGGGACACCTTTTGCGACACCCGACGCGGGTCGCCCTGCCAGCGTCTGGGAGAAACAGTGAGCGCCTCTCAGACCCCCTTCCCGAGCAGCGACAAACAAAAACCATGGCGGACGATTTTTGGCAATCGTCGGCCTATGGGGCTTCTGCCTGTCCACAAGCCTGGGCCGTCAACAAAAACAGGTCAGGACGATTCGCCGGCCACGGGGAACGGGGTCCAGACCTCAGGCGGACCTACGCTGCGGGGAAACACGCACGCCGTCGGGGGTCTGGGGGCTGCGGGCGCCGTGTGAGCGCGCGTGGTGGTGGTGGCCTTTCGAGCGCCAGCAAGCCACGGGCGGGGGGGATGCGGGGGCGCCCCCCGCAAGGCCCTTCTGGTGGAGCCCTGGGGGGTTCAGTCAAGTCGTACATTCAGCGGTGCCGAGCTTTTGTTGTTGTTGTTGTTGTTGTTTGATTTTTCTTTTTTGTCCAATCTTTTCGCATCCGCTGTTCATGTTCCTCTGCTCACTCACATCACCTTCACTGAAAAGGGGGCCTGGATGCATACGGGCAGCTTGAGGGCAAGCAAGCAACGAAGAGAGGTCGACGATCCTGTTTTCCTTGACCCGTCGCGCTCGCGCGACCTGCTACGATGTGGGAGCCCCTTCGGTGGGGGCGCCCCGAGGCACATGCATTGACCCTTCTCATCCACTGCGAGGTCAGAGGTCGCAGCCCAGTACATTGACAATGCCACCAGACACGCCTCCGTTGCCTCGCGGCCGGGCTCGCAGATTTCGCGCCGGTGCGGCCGCGAGGCCGGGGCTGGGCGCATAAGGCCCGCGCGTAGAAAAACAATCACACAAGAAGCGACTACGTCTCGCACGCGGTGGTCAAAGGCCACCCACGCTCGAGCGTAAAAATAAAAACGACGCCCCAGGCCACGCCGTGGGGCGAAGGCTGACACGCTGCATTTGCGTCTGTCCTACCCGGGGGGCCGGCTCCCTTCTGGACCTCCTCCATCCATTTTTCCTACTTGATAACTCCTCCCTGCCGCACCCTGACACGTGTCGGTAGGGCTGGCTGGTCTTTTTTGCCTGAGACTTTTTCACCACCTGTGATCCTGAAGTTTATACTTTGCAAGAGGTTCACTGATGGAGGGCGGGTGGATTTCAACACGTGTCTCTTGCCTTAGCGCCGCGTACATTCGCCTGAAAAGTTTGCCCGAGTTTCACGGATTGAGGGCGGGTGGTTTTCAACATGTGGCTGTCTTAGCGCTGTGCGCATTCGTCTCAAAAATTTGGTACTTCTTTTCCAAACTGTGGCTATCGTTTTACAGCGGCTATCGTCTTAACACGGCGTAATTATCACGTTCATGTGTTCAAATCCCAGGAACGGCGCTGTGGCACGATTCAGGACCGTCAGGACGCAACAATAACGTTGACTCGAGGCGTTGAGGTCCCAGGGACGGTGCTATGGTTCAAGATTTTCAGACGGCTGTATGTCCAACGGGGCACTTCTCGCAGTGAAAACAAGTCTTTGTAGGGACCTATGGAAAAAAAGAGCTTTGACGGAGCGTTTATTGCAACATGGATGAGTCTTGGGCTTGTTTTTTCCTCTCCCTCTCCCCCACCTCCCTCCCCCTCCCCGTTCTTCTGTTGCTTCTTCTGTTCTTCCTCCTATTGCTCCTCCTCCTCCTCCTCCTCCTCCTCCTTGTGTTCCTCCTCAATTCCTTCTCTTTGAGAGTAACCCCTCGCTGTCGCACCCCGAGACGTGTCTGTAGGGCGGGCGAGGCGATGAACATGAGACTTCCTCACCACTTATGATCCTGAAGTTTAGCATTCGCAAAGAATTTCACGGATGGAAGGCGGCCGGTTTTCCAAATGTGGCTCTCGTTTTCGCGCCGCGCACATTCGATTTGAAAGTTTGCCAAAGCTCACGGATGGAAGGCGGTTCCTTGTCAACATGTGGCTCTCACCATAGCGCGGCGCGCAGCCGTCTTAAGAGTTTCCAGCCCTGTTTCGAGGATTCTTATGGTTGACGCCCCCAAACCAAATCTTTGGTACGATGTGGGGCTGTCAGGGCGCAACAATCACGTTGATTCGCAGTGTTGACATCCCAAGTAAGGCGTTTTGGCGCGATTCAGCGCGTCAGGGTGCAAACGTAAATCTGAATCGAGGCGTTGAAATCCCAGATATGGTGTTTGGCACGGTTCAGGATCTTGAAACGATTGTCTTCCAACGGGGCACTCACTTCCTTCGGTGAAAACTAATACCTGTAGCGAGGGAATTTGAAGGGAGGATTTATTTCAACATCGTTGATGGGTCTTTGGTTTACACTGGTCCTCCTCTTCCTCCTGCTCCTCCTCTCCTCTCGCCCCTCCGCCTTCCTCTCTACAAAAACACAAATCATGAATATCAATTTACTCTCTGCCCTGGCTCTGTCTGGGGGATGTCCGGCCCTCTCCGCGTATTGTTTACTACTCGCCGGATTTCAGCACTTGCTTGTTCTTCAAGGTTTTTACAAGCCGATCTATTTCACTTTTCAAAACAGTGCTCATGTTGCAGCGTGGGCCATTTTCGGATTGGCGCTGAGCTCCCGTCTTTCAAGTGGCGTTCTCCCCTCGGCGCGGGCCAATTTTCTGGATCCAATTCCCTTGTCATCGTTGTCGCCCACGCTTTTCCACTCCTCATTCCCCAAGTCCCTCTGCACTTCCCGCTCTTTCCACTCCAGCTCCTGCTGCTGCTGTTCGTTCTCGTTCTCCTCCTCCTTTCTCCTTCTCCTTCTCCTTGACCCTCACGTCATGTTCCTGCTCATGCGCCACCTCGTCCTCCACAATGTACGCAACTCCCTTCT